TTATTGGCGGCAAAAATAGAGGAACCAAAGTGGACGTGTTCCCGGTCAACGACTCGTTACATGCACCTCCTCTTACGTGCACGCTTCCCAGCTCGCACACACACTCACACACACACACACACACACACTCGCATCGAAAGCAAAAATGGCATCACGAGAAAAACGCATAATAATGATAAAGTGGCCGGCCTATTAACGGCGGAGGAGCTGTGAGAGCGCACACACGCGTTTTCATTTGTTAGTTAGCGGAAAGAGTTCATCGGATGTCTTCGCCGGCCTACACAGAGGAAGACGTAGGTAACTGAATCGGAAACGCATAAATAGTTTGCGACGCCCAAGACGCCACTTTGGCACCTATCCAGGGTCACCGCCATGCGTGTGTGCAGGCTAGACACAATAATTTGTGCGATATGTGACGGCCTGTCGTCGGTGTTAAAGGATAAAGCTGTTTGACAGTCCGAATGGAATGTGGGAAATATATCGGATAAATATTCTTCCGTTAGCCTCTTTTCCATCTGGAACAGAAGGAAGAGGAAAATTTACCTACCCTTTACCTACTGTAACTTTTAAAAAAGAACGGTTCCCTACTTTGACATTTAAGGATGGGAAATGTTTTCGTGAAGAAAGTAACGCCATCAACATTTTATCGTCGAGACTAAGTTAATGGTAAAATCGAAAATGACACAGTATTAACATTTGCGTTCAAAAGATTGAAAGATCGAAACGTTAACAACTACTTGATGCGTGCAATAAATAGTGATGTGTTTTTTGTATTTTTGAATGACCCCTTTGTTGTAAGAATTTATTTCATTAATTCTTACTCTTATCACAAAATACCCAAGAAATAAGGAAAAAGTATAGTTCCTAATGCATATTCTAATTTAGTTCTAACTAAACTAAAATATAAAATTGTCAAAGCGGAAACACCAATGAAACTCTTACAGTTACTGATAATAGAACATTGTGTCAGCATACATGCTGACATTAAAATATTACTAATATCAACTGTAAAATGTAAATTGACAGTCAAAATGAACTCCTAAATTGCGTAGGAAATCAGTGAGTTCTAATATGACGTTATCAATCTTATAAAAATATAGTATGTTAGATTTTTTTAATTGGCCACATAATTTCATGTCATCAGTCTGTTATTATCCAGCGTATGTCAAAAATCATTATAGAAATTAAAAAACAACAAGGGCCCCAAGTTGGATCCTTGAGGGACAATTCACTCAATTTTACTCAATACTTAATGTATGTGTTCTGTCCACACCCAATTGAGTGAAATTTTCACTCTATTAGTATGAGTACAAGTTACTGCTAACTATCAATTGAGTGGCTTTTAAATCTAGTCTGAGAGTATACAGGGTGTCCCAAAAGTGACGCCCGTCCTTCTAGGATTTGATTAAGGATTAATTGAAAATCAAGAGTGGAAAATTTTTCGATTGCTTTCCGTTGTTGAGTTATTCAAAAAAGTATTCAAAAAACTAAAAAAGTGAAAATCCATTTTCTTGTCTCAAAACTGAGGTCTGTGCATTTGGGAACCAAGGCATATAATTTATAACCAATATTAGATAAGTATAGTTTTCGATTGTTAGTTGTACCTGGGTGTAAGGAATTATTTTAACCTGAAAAGGATAGAGAAAAACATTTTTATAATAAAACAAACTAAAACCATAATGTGCTTAAATAATAGAAATTGTTTTTACAAAAGGTGTTCAAATAAGTTCTTCTACTTCAAGACAAAGATTATCACGATTCAACATTGAAGCATGAACTCTTTGTAGCATCTCTTGGTCTATTAACGCGACATCGGCGTATATACGGACTATCAACCTTTTCTTTTAAATAATCCCAAATGAAAAATCTAGGATATTCAGATCTGGTGATCCAGGAGGCCATGGTCCACCTCTTCCAATCTATCAGTCTCGGAAGTTTTGATTCAGATAATTTTATATTCGTAAACCATAATGTGATCATCCATCATGTTGAAACCAATAATTTAGTCTAACTGCTAACGGAACGTCATGCAGCAATGGCAATGGTAAGTTTTCATTTAAAAACATACAGCTGCAGCAAATACAGCTTTGAATTACATAAATATTTAATAACCCAGCCATATGTTTATTTAGTTTTTTTGAATAACTCGGCAAAGAAAAACAATCAGAAATTTTTCCACTCTTGATTTTCGGTTTGTTTTTGTCCCCTTAATCCAAACCCATAAGGACGGGCGTCACTTCTGGGACACCCTGTATAAAACCAATTTAGAGTTGACTTTTTCTCTGATATAATTTAAATGTAACTATTATTGATTGATTTTTTACATAGACTTGGTTTATACTCGTATTCTCTTTAAATTTTAATTTAAATATCATTGCATTCAAGTCATAAACTATTAAGCTGCCACAGTAGTTTCTACATAGATCTGTTTTAGAGACAATATTTTAGGTCTCAATTAAAGAAATTGGTGAACTAATTGGACGAATAGATTGCCATAACCTATATTGTGCGTTATAAATACGTAATTATAGATAACAATTTTAATATCCGTTATTTTACCAAATATTAATCGAGACTTAATATATTGTATTTAATTATTGTAATTAAATCACTGCATTTAAATACATTTTCACTAGAATAACCAGATAAACCGATACTTGTCCAACTCCAAAGCACACCATACGCCATACTGCCATCCACCACGGTCACGAAATAACCTAATGGCACGATTGGAAGAGACAATGCATCTCGATATGAAAAAGGGTGGAATTACACAGTAATGGGGACGTTTACTCTGATATAGGTGCACCAAATACGAGTTTACTTGAAGAATTTATTTAAGGAGTACCTATATTTGAGTGCAAGTACTCAGTTTAGACTTTAAATATAACCACAAATGGGTAGAATGATCAAAATGTCCAATATTGAGTGAAAATGTACTCAATAATTTCACTCAATAGATCACTTCGAACCATTATCGCTTTCACTCACACCGATTTTTTACAGTGTATCATTTTGTGACTTATTGAAGACATTGGAGGAGTTCGCATACACGCGTCGACCTGTCCTCTCTTATCTAGTGAGTCTTTCACATAAAAACTGACCAAACTCAGCTAGCTTCCTGTTAAAAAATAGATAAAAAGTCTCTTCCAAAATTAGTCAACATTAATATTGATCTATATTTATTAATAATAGAGTGCAACTTCGTATATTGCGGATGTAAGGAGCTAGTAATCATAGAACAATATATGCTTTACAAATCGATTACTTCAGATCCGATAAGTAAGCATTATTGAGTAACCGATATATACAGTACTGACATCGTTAATCAACAGCCATAACGTTAACACCGACGTCGATATTCTGTACACTCACGAGTCGCCTGGGAAAGGTCAAGAACGTGAGTACAGATGATTTTCACGCCTGTTCGCAGATGCCTTTGGTGTCGGTACTTTGTGTTTTTTTAGCTTAAGATAGCTCTAAACTCGACGGCAAGAAGTTATGGTGAAAATTCACGCTGTGAATCTCAAGCGACAGATATGCTGTTCTATACTCACGCAGTCTCGAGATAACGTGAGTGGTGGCAGATGTGGAGCTACACCGTGAATGTAATGTAACTTTCGCGTTCGCGGTAAGTGAACCCTTTGTATAAAATATTGACATCGAACGAAGAATTAACGTCAAAACTTATGAATTATAAAAATCATGTATACTCGCTCTCTTGGTACTTACGTCACGAGTGTAGAGCCAGCTTTATAGGTCAATCTCCGTTTAGCAGACGTCTAGACAATTTGTTCAAAAATATTAAAAGAATGCTATTTATAAAAGATATTATGAACATTATTAAAATATTTTTAAAATACTTTCTATATTTAATTAGTAACATTAGTGAATCCGCTGTACATATTTCGATATGCGGCATTATATTTTAAATAAAATTTCAATATTTAATCCACCCTTCTCTTTAATTCCTTGTAAACGGAGGTGACAAATAATTGTAGAATTTTCCCATTTATCTATCTCCGCAAAACTATTTTTCATTGCATTTCTTTTGATACAAGTGATTGCTAAACTGTTAAATTCGAAAGCTTTGCAACATGATATAAAAACCAATGGTGCAGAGTTTGGTTAGAAGTAATTAACTATTAGTTACAGAATTTACATTTAAGATACAATTTTATCTTGTTTGATCAGAAACCGGTAAATATTGTTCTGTTTGTTTTGCACTTCTTTTTATGCCCTGCGACTAAGTGTGGGAAAAAATATTCCAATAAAAGAGAAGTCCAATTAGATAACCGTTTATCTGTACACAACATTGTTGTCTACAACGAAAATCGTAGCTCGAAAATTAAGGCTATGTATATCAAATAGTAATATTACCAGACTACAATTTGCATATACTAAAGTCTTTGAATATATTTCTGTACAAGAAATAATGGCCTAATATTTTTATGTATACACCTAAATAATGAACTCAGCACATGGTCTGATGCGAATATACCACATCTAATTGGAATTTATCGTACGTTACGTGGGCACAAATGTTATCAATAAATTACAATTGCTATAACTTTAAGGTTAACAATATGTCGTTAGTACAATGTGTTATTACAACTGTTGAAAAATCAACTCCATTATTAGCACGGATGTTTTCCGCCAACTTGTATATATAAAGTACTTATTCATAAATACAGAACTAACAATATTTTCCGTGAGGAAGCTACTGGCATAGATTGAAACGCAAATAAATCAACCATAAATAAAGGATATCGTAACCAAAAGATACTACGAACAAAACAATACTTTTGCAAAAGTGTGTCTGTGTTATACTATTTTTAGGTTTTCTAAGTGAACGCTCTGTATGAAATCAAATAGTTATTCAACCAATGATCTTTGCGGATTTAAAACTATGTACATTTTGCGTTGGGATTACTTAAAAAAATGTTATGTTTGTAATATATGTTGAAATATTAAATTTAATAAAAATAAGTTCACCTTACCTACTATACTAATTAAAGATGATACTAAAACTATTAATAGGAAGGCCCAAGGTGGCGGATATTTGTGGTGATAAAGGTGTAATCGTCTTCGACCTGAAAAAGAAAAAGAATTGTAGTTTGGCTAACAGCTTTTTTGATAGAATGAACCAAAACATTCAATAACCATTCTCAACAATCAATCAATATGTAAACTATAAACAATTAAACAATTTCAGTTTTGAGACATTTAGAAATATAGGTGTTTAGTCTATTAGTAATGATTGTTAATAGATTCAAGAAATTCAATATTTTCGCAACAATGGGCTCATTCCGCATTTTTTTTATTTGCTTAACGGAAAGACATTGCAATTTTAAGGTTCTCTGCAAATAATTAGAATTTTATATCGGCTACAAGTCATCTAAAAAAAATCATAAACTGGCACGCTGAGTATACGCTGAACCAACGGCGGGTGTGACGTCACCGCATGGGAAACCGATGCCGCATGCTTACATGTGTCGGTCAGTTCGGTGTTAAGTTTCGATTGACTACATAATAAATATTATATTGTTACTATATTTATAAGATATTAGGTAGAATTTATGTAATTTCCATGGGAATAAAAATAGTAAAATAAGAATTTTGTATTTGATTAGGTAAATCTTTGAAACCTGTGACAGAAACGTTTTAGTCCAATTAAACGTAAAATCCTTATTCTTATTTACTATTCTTATTGTACAAAAACATCAAAACTTTCGCTACAAACGTACTTTAAAGAAGCTTTATACGTTATTGAAACGTTCACTCCTCTCATCTCAACACTGATGAAGTCGTAGTTTTTATTAAAAAATCCATAACCATTAACAAACCTACTTCTGGCAAATTGGAAGAATCTGCTTTTAGGTTTGCTTCCATTTTTTTAAATTTAATATGCACAAACGCTAAAACATTCTGTAGATGCAGAAACTCATCTGGAAGTAGCTCCAAGCCGGCTGACCGTCCCATGCGGTGACGTCATTGCATTGCCACGGCTAAGACAAGTATTCGCATTTTAAAAATCATATAGTTTGAAAACCGCTCAACGGATTGAGTTGAAATTTTCAGGATCGCCTAATCATGAGCAATACTTTCTGTATACAAAATAAAACGTTTCTGAAAATTTACTGAATGACCCCATTATGATATACGGTTTCAAAAAGACACATTTTCACATTCTGTTTCTTTCCAATATTTTAACTATATCCAAGAATAAAAGTAGGTCAAAAAACCTGACCAAAAATTATAGTTCTATTAAGAAAAAATGGTGTCATTACGACTAAACAACTGAACATTGTAGGGTTAAATGAAAAAATGCGTTATTAAAACGCAAAAACTTTAAAATGTAAAAATTAACTTGTCACGAAATTTCATCGGATCGAAAATAATGAATTTATATCGTACTTTCTTCCACAGGGTACAATTATAATCACTGAAAAAAAGCCCACAAAGCTTGACGAATAGATTTACATCATCAACGAAGAATGTTTTAATATACTTTTTGTGTAAAATAAAGCATGTTTTCATTGACATTTGTAATATTTCCGCAATGATTCGACGGAACGAAATTTTAACAGATTCGAGAAAGTGGGTCATATTTTCATGAAGAAACTGATTCATCAACACCATTTCCTTATCAAGAGATAAATATTTCCTTTACGTTACCTGAATTCTATACGTGCACCTAATGGATGTCGAGGCATTTGGTAAATTAACAAATAATTTTAATTATATCTTCGAATTGATCAATGTTTTTGTTTCTATTAGTAGACAGCCCTAACGCCTTGCAAAATGTAATAATATTATCTTTTATTTATACATTTACAACAAAGGCAGGAGTAAAACAAAGTTATACAAGGATTCTATCCGGCGCAAGGCTAGGCAAACAGTCCGATTAGAAAAACAAGGCAGTTAATCAAACCTTATTTATGCGACTCTAAGATATATAAAACTAAACCACCCCCAGTCAAATATTTCATTCCGGTGCCCGAATAAGTTGTTTGCGCCACGACTGCCCCAAATCGCTAGAAAAAGGGGCCCTAGATAAAGCCGCGACCCAAAGGGTTCATCGACCTAAATAGTAAATCTTAGTTGTAGAGAAACCCTTCAAAATAACCCCGCCACGGGGTCAACTTTGAACGGAGCAGAAGGAACTAGCTGCGGAGGAAATGATATACGAAAATAGATATCCGCGACAGACAACAGATTTGTCCGATAAAAAAATAATACTAATAGTCTAGGTTTTCGACTTAATTTCACTCGGAAGTTGATTTATATATAAGTATAAGTATATCTATATCCGGATCTTTATGGTCCTGCAACTACGATTTTGGATGGAGATAATAGCGGCAGTAAAAATCTCGTCTCCGAGTGTTGGAAGATATGCGACAAAAATACCACGGAGAATCTATAACAGTCTGGTGTGGGGATATTTTTGTCCAGACAGTTACCTAATTTAATACATTAATGAGATTTTACACCGCGGTTCAAGGCAAATGTTCTTTCTGATTATACCGCGTACCATGAATGAAGTCAAATGAAATACCATATACAGGGTGTTACAAAATTTTAACAGACGATAGAATACATTAAAATAAACAACATGCATATATCGCCCCTAAATCATTTCTGAAATTATGAATTAATATTGTATCAAATGAAACGAATTTTAGAAAACTTGAACACTGTCTACTTCACGATTTCTCCTTAACTTATTCAAATTTTCCAGGTACTTGCACCTGAACCTATATCTAATGCGTCTAAGTGTTTCTTCAGTTATACGAGTTTGCTTGTTAACTTATCTCTTTTATCAGGACGGCCGTTCTCACACGGTTCAAACAAAAGAATTTCATGAATAACATGGAAGTACATACTTACAATTCAATAGGTCTACTAAAACAATTGTTAAACAAATTCCAAGATGGTAATTATATTTTTAATTGCAGTTTGTGAATGGGATACCTATAAACGTTACTTCTGCTCAGGAATATTTAAAAGTCATAACAAAATTAGCTAGTCTAGAATATAGTTTAAACGTAAATTAAAAACATTTCTACAGAGAGGAACAAACACACGTTAGCATCAAGGAAGAACCACTTATTTTTATAAAAATATATTTTGGTGGGCGGAAACTACCAACTTATTTTTTTAACACCCACAAACTCGTGTCAATATTTGAGTTTATTAATTTATCCTTCCCTTTAAATAAATATAGCTGACGTGACGTTTATATTGAAAAGTTTAAAATAAAGCACATGTTTGAAAACTAGTTAGTAATACTACTATTTTTCCTTCTGCAATTTATGGAAAAGAGAGAAAATATAATCATTTCTGAAGAGAAAATTTATTTGGCTGTAGGTTTGCAGGAATATCTACATTATCTGAAATAAGCATACCTACGTATCTACAAGTATTTTACGATGGCCGAACTTTGGTCATAAAATTTCCTTATCTTATCAAAATTACATACATTTTTAAGCCGGTGTTGTTATTTAAATAACGGCAAACGCGTAAAACCGAATAGATAAAAACTTTCTTCCGCATTACCTTAGCCTAAAATTAAATTTATAACCCAGTCAGTGGTCACAGAAACAAGTAACTAGCAATATGGCTGATTTTTTTTATATAAGTACCTCAAAGTATACAGATTAATATAAGAAGTTCATTGGTCTATCGATTTCCCAAAGTTAAAAAATTTTTTTAAAAATATTTTGATTTTCGGAATTCTTTAATATTTTGGACTAAGATAAAGATAAGAGAAAAATAAAAAATACCACAGTGTGGGGGAATTTTTTTCCAACAAAAAAACACTCGCGAAGCTCGGCCAGCCGTGTGAGAACCTATTTTTTGAAGCCCGGCGCTTTACATTATAAACTATTGCATAGTTATAGGATATTAAATTAATAATTGTGATAGCCCATTTCCAAGTAGGAAGTCTAATCCTTTCAATGGTATGGTTATTTTTTTTTCAAATAAAAGGTCGAATAAAAAATTGTGCATATATGTAATATATTCGAATCGAAAACCGAGCGTCTCAATGACAAATATACTTAAACATATGGACAATTCGAAACATTTTTTTTCAACATCGGGAATTGTTATTTAGGTGACCTCTTTCACAAACAAAATTTCCGGGTAATGGATTTTAACTAATTACGAACCGACCCTTACAGTTATTTTAAAAAATTTAAGTCTTGAGTTTACGGCAAAATATATTAGCTTCTGGAATTTTATTAAAACTAAACTAATTTGAATGACACTTTTTTAAATATTGGGGGAATTACACAGATTAAAAATCTCTAAGCACAAATTCATTTGGTTACGAGCGTTTTTCACTTTTAATGATTTTCTGTATATTATAAGAAAATAGCAATTTTTCTGGCTCCGCATGTAAATCTCCTTTGATCGTTTAATATAAAATTTGATACTGTTACAATATGAAGGGGAATATTCAGAGTTGAATGTAAATAGTCAACAGGTATGCAAGCATCCAGGTAAGAAACACAGTATACGTGGAAACGATGATTCTATGTAATTTTGTATTTAACTTTTTTCCTATGATTTTGTAATAAAATCTTTTGAAATTTTTGAATTTTTTTTGCATTGAATTAAGATCGAATATTCATTTCTACATATTAAAATATTCAATATTTGTGTGAAATTTGACAATTCTTACGTTTGAAGAGTGAATCTATTCGCTTGTTTGCCCGCAAAAGATGACTTCATGGCTATAATATTTTTTTCCAGACAAACCATAGCTAGGACGAAAAAAGTGCAAAGTATCTTTTTTGTTGGAAAAAACTTCTTCCACAAGGTAGTATTTTTTATTTTTCTCTGTCTTGATCCCAGTCCAAAATATAAAAGAATTTCGAAGATAAAAATGTATTTCACAATTTTTTTGGACTTGATTGATAGACCAATGAACTTTTTCTTATGTTAATCTGCATTCTTTGAAGAAATTAACCATATTGCTAATTACTTGTGCTTTTAATGCAAAATTACTTCTACCAACTGGGCTATAAAACCTGAACCGCATTATTTAGCTTCACATTTTTTAAAATAAATCAACACATTAAATAAA